TGACCTGGCTGAAGTCGGACGCTTAACCGACTGCGCCACCCAGGCGCCCCTCAAGTTTTATTTCTAAGAGAAGTACCAGCTGGAGCACCCACCGTGCTTTGGGAACAAAAGTCAAACTTCTTTTGCATTGTCTTTCCAGTCTTTTTCATTATCTGAACTGCTCTGTTGAATCTGCAAAATTAATTTCTGTTCGTGAAAATGTTCTTCCTGAAATATTAAGTCTGTTTCCAGTGAGTAAAAAAAAAACCAAAAAACAAAAAAACTTGTTTTTCAAAAAAATTTTTTTAACGTTTTATTTATTTTTGAGACAGGGAGAGACAGAGCATGAACAGGGGAGGGTCAGAGAGAGGGAGACACAGAATCCGAAACAGGCTCCAGGCTCCGAGCCATCAGCACAGAGCCTGACGCGGGGCTCGAACTCACGGACCGCGAGGTCGTGACCTGAGCCGAAGTCGGCCGCTTAACCGACTGAGCCACCCAGGTGCCCCATCTTTTTTTTTCAAATGAGCCAAAGGAAAGTCAGTGCCTGAGACAGTGAGCTTTTTGGACCCACTATTATACTATAAACCATTTTTTCATAAGCGTATTTAGTCCCTATGAGCGCATCCTGGATTCCACTGCAAATGGCTTGATGACCACGGCAATGTCTTCTGATGAAGACCCAAGGCTTTATTCTAAGTGCCTCCGTAGATTCCGCTCAGCCAGCAGGCTGGATCATGCCTGTAACAGATGTTCTGGCTTCCCGTGGCCGAGGACTTCAGTCCCCTCCCAGGAGATGAGACATTCATCCCTTGGACACCAGAAGCACCTTCCTGATTTCATCAGGCGAGAGGAGCTATTTGTCTGGAGGATGACCCCAATGTCATGGCTGAAGCAAACAAATCAAACGTACATACTTAGTAACTGCACGAACTGTCTATGCACGGTTGAGAAAATTATACTAGGTTTAAAAGAGCACCTGCTTCTCTCGATGAGCCAGAAATTCCTCAAAACTGATTTTGTAAAGGGAAAGATAAAGTAATCTCCGTAAGAAATCTTCATGTTCTGGAGAAGGGAACCAAATCGGAGGAGTGGAGAACAGTGTCTATGATTTTTCAAAAAAAAAAAAAAAAAACTTTTTTTTAAAAAAAAAACATTTTTTTTTTTAATTTTTTTTTTCAACGTTTATTTATTTTTGGGACAGAGAGAGACAGAGCATGAACGGGGGAGGGGCAGAGAGAGAGGGAGACACAGAATCGGAAACAGGCTCCAGGCTCTGAGCCATCAGCCCAGAGCCTGACGCGGGGCTCGAACTCACGGACCGCGAGATCGTGACCTGGCTGAAGTCGGACGCTTCACCGACTGCGCCACCCAGGCGCCCCAAAAAACGCTTTAAAATTAAAGCCTCAAAGTACTAAAACATACGGTCAACATATTTCTTTTGTCTGATCTAAGCAGTGCTCCTCAACATCGAACATGAATGTGAAGCGCCTATGGATGTTGTCACAAGGCAGATCCTGATTCAGAAGGTCTCAGATGGGGCCCCAGATTCTGCATTTCGAACCAGCCCCAAACACTCCAGGTGCTGCTGGCCCGTGGCTCACACTTTGAGCACCAAGATGCACACTCTTCTCAAAACAATGTTTCTCCAAGGACGGTCAGTGGACAATGTGTATGAGAATGTCATCTGTTAAAAAACAGAGTCCCATGTTCACCTGTTTACTAAATCTGGAGTCCGGGGCTGAAGCCCGGGAATCTGCATTTGAACAGACTGCTCACATGAATCTTATCGATGCCGAAGCTTGAGAAGGGACACTGTTTCATGGATAAGCGGTGAACTGGGGATAAGAAAGAAACTTGTATGGGGAAGGCTTTGGCTGTGGTAAGGAGACTCTTGCGTAGGTACCAGGAAGGGAAGGTACCAAGCACTTAAGCAGGTGGGGACATTCACAGACTGGCAGGTGCAAAGCCACTCAGGAGGCTACATCATAGGGAAGGAACTCTAGAAGCATTTCCGATGATAGGATGCTGTTCTAATTGCTTTGCTAAATTAGACTTTAATTCTGAGTATCGAGCACGTGTTCTTCATTTAAAAAATAATGATTTGCGGGGCGCCTGGGTGGCGCAGTCGGTGAAGCGTCCGACTTCAGCCAGGTCACGATCTCGCGGTCCGTGAGTTCGAGCCCCGCGTCGGGCTCTGGGCTGATGGCTCAGAGCCTGGAGCCTGTTTCCGATTCTGTGTCTCCCTCTCTCTCTGCCCCTCCCCCGTTCATGCTCTGTCTCTCTCTGTCCCAAAGGTAAAATAGACGTTGGAAAAAAAAAAAAATAATTAAAAAAACATAATGATTTGGGAAAACGTCGCAGAACTTTTTTTATTTTCTTATCTTTCACCGACTCACATGATAATTTTAGAGGAGTTTTGCATCATTTATGTGGATTCTCAGTCGGTGGTGGGTCCTAGCCTTTAAGCTTTTATGTATTTCCAGGTCTCAGTCCCCGTCTCTTTGATGGAGGAGAAGACAATTTGCAAACGGATGCTAACATTTACCAAGTTCATTACTTCTCAAAAAAAAAAAAAAAAAACCTGTTAAAGATTTTACTTACTTGGTCATGATGACAGCTAATATTTGCAATGCACTTATTATGCCCTTGGAATCGTGACAGGTAAATTTACAATCGCAGTCAATCCTAAACATGAGATATGTGCCATCCACTGATTTTTCCTCCATCATAAATGTTCATTGATTCGTGAAAGATGGGGCTGTTCGTTTGTAAGGTGGTACCAAGTAAAATCATTTGCTGCCTTCACCAGTTTCACCTCCTCCAAGGTGACATGATGATTTTCTGCGAGACAAGCTTAAAAGCCAAGAGATCACATTTGGCTTTTCTTTAAAAAATTTTTTTAATGTTTATTGATTTTTGACAAAGAGAGAGAGAGAGAGAACGCGAGCAGAGGAGGAGCAGAGCGAGAGGGAGACACAGAGTCTGAAGCAGGCCCCAGGCTCCGAGCTGTCGGCACAGAGCCCGAAGCAGGGCTCAAACCCACAGACCGCGAGATCGTGACCTGAGCCGAAGTCGGACGCTCAACCGACTGAGTCACCCAGGCGCCCTGCATTTGGCTTTTCTTAAGCAACATTCACTTTTCTATGTAGTGCAGGGCAGTTTTGCCAAACACACACACTCACTCTGGGCCAGGGCATCTGGGTTTGGTCAAAGTCGTAGGGAACAAGCAAACCTGGCTTTGGCAACCTGGGAGGTTTCTCTGAAAGGAAGGAAGAGAGCGCACCGCAGGGTGATGCACTGGCCAACGACCTGCCAGCAACTCTGGCTCCTCCAGCTCACTTGGGGATGATAATGGCATATATCTCAGATTTAGGGTTAATTGCAATTATAAACTTAATTTGCTTGCACGGTTCCAAGTGCCTAATAAACACCACCCCGACTCACCTCTTGCGCACCGCACTTGTAATCTGTCGGCAAATCCTGTGGATAACCTCTTTGCAATCTCTCCAGACTCCCCTGCCCTTCCCACCACCTCACCTCTCTGACTTGCACGGTCCCTCACCTGGACTACACAGGAGCCACCCAATCACCGTCTGCTGTTTCTTCCTGTGGTCTGTTCGCATTGCAGCATCTAGAATGAGCCTCTTAAAAAGAAACAACAACAACAAAAAAGATCATCTCCCTCTTCTCAAAAAATCCTCTGAAGACTACCCATTTCACTTAAAGTGAAAGGTCCTGTAATGATGTGATCCTGCCTCACCTCTGATCTCACCTCCTCCTACCCTCCCCTCTGTTCTGTGTAGCCTCCTCAAGCTCAGGCTAGCCCCCGGATATTTGCACTTCCCTTGTCTGAAATGCTCTTCCCCTCATATCCACATGGTTCAATTCTTTACCTCCCTCATATTTTTTTTTGAAAACCACCTTCTCAGTGAGGCCATTTTTGACAAGCTTTCTTCCACCCTTAACATATCCATTGCATTTATTTGTCTTGTGTTTATCATCGTAAGACATGCCGCATGATTTGTTCATTTATCTGAACCATTACGTTTCCCCTGACTAGGACAGAAGCTTCATGAAGGCAGATATTTCCTATGTTTTGTTTACTGCTGTATCCCACAATATGTGGTTTCTAGTAGGCCCTCGATACTATAACTGTTGAATGAATGAATTTGTGTTTTTCCTACAATCTTACATTTGTAAATCCATTTTTTTTCTCCTTTCTTGTTTTTTTTTTTTTTTTTTTTTTTGGCTTGAGCTTTTATTTTAGTTTTTTTATGTGTTACCTTCTACTTGTTTGGAAGAGGTAGTATTCTCTACACTCTATTTCTGTTCCTAGAGTAGCTAACATCTCAATTTTAATTTTTAACTTTACTGTGCATAAATTTAACTGGATGTAGTCAGAATCCAATTAAGAATCTAATCACAATCTTAACCCTGCAGAACAATATTGTTTTTACCTTTAAGCGACTCACTTCAAGCTGGCTTCCTGGATCATCTCAGTACTTAATTATTTTTATGAGATGTGAATGTTCAACAAAAAACTAGCTGTTGTCGTTAAAAAAATAAAAAGAAAGGGACAAAAAGGAGGAGACAAAACAAAGAGAAGAGCACCCATCCGTCCAGATGCTCACCTTTGCTGCCTTAGGTTGCAGCCCAATACCCTAACCTTTGTCTTTGACCTTGAACCTTTAATTTCACCTCATCAGGTACAAGTAAAAAGCAAATAAGAATGTCGTATATTTGCTACATATGCATTCCTTGATTTTCTCTTTTTCATTTAACTTTATGTGTAGTCTTTTAAAATGAAAAATGCCTAGGGGCACCTGGGTGGCTCATTGGTTAAACTTTGGCTGACTTCCGTTCAGGTCATGATCTCTCCGTTCATGAGTGAGTTCGAGCCCCTCATAGGCATCAGGCAGTCTGCTGTCAGCACAGAGCCTGCTTCAGAGCCTCTGTTTCCTTCTCTTCCCCTCCCCTGCTTGTGTGCATGCACTCTCTCTCTCTCTCTCTCTCTCAAAAAAAAAATTTTTTTTTTTTAAATGTTTATTTTTGAGACAGAGAGAGACAGAGCATGAACGGGGGAGGGTCAGAGAGAGAGAGGGAGACACAGAATCTGAAACAGACTCCAGGCTCTGAGCTGTCAGCACAGAGCCCAACGCGGGGCTCGAACTCACGGACCGCGAGATCACGACCTGAGCCGAAGCCAGACGCTTAACCGACTGAGCCACCCAGGCACCCCTCTCTCAAAAATATTTTTAAAAATAAATGAAATGAAATGAAAAATGCCTGTCTGAGTCTTTTACTAGAATTCAGTCCATTCCTATTTAACGGACCTACCGGCAACTCCGTGTTATCCTTTCCATCTTTGTGACTTTAATTTATTTCACTTTTTTTTGTCCTTTCTATTCTTCTTTTTATAAGTTATTGCTTTCCCCCTATTTTCTTCTCTTTTCCGAAGTCCTATTCTGTTTTTCTATTGGGCCAAAAAAAAAAAGGTTATCGCCTCTGTCCCGATATTCATAATCCAACCTTTACCTTTTTTTTTTTTTTTTTTAACCGTTGCAATATAACGAACACAGCCAAACAGGGCCAACACCCACCACGTGTGCACACCTGGGCGACAGGGAGCCTGAGAAGCGGAAATAGGAAGTAAAGGGCAAAACTGAATTTTTCCTGTCCCTTCTAAACGTCCTTGTCACCTATTTCTCATTAATTCTTTTCTGTATAAAATTCTTTCATTGATCTGGTTCCACCCCTTATAAAGGTAAGGACTGGAGAGTCATCCAGAAGCCGGATCCTAGGCAAGAGGGCAATGTCCTGGGAGACCGGGGCAGGCGAGACGGGCGCGGGGCAGGCTGGGTAATACAGCTCCGTGAGGCCGATCGCAGAACATGTCTTGCCCCCGCCTCCTCCCTTGGTTACTGGTCCAGCCAGGCTGTGAGAGAGAAAACCGCCCACCGTGTGACTGCAGAATCCCACGGCATCCCAGTCAACTGCTAACCATGAAGTGGATTTTCTTCCACGGTTGTTTTTTTTTCCTTGCATTCACATTCATTCAGAATTTTGACTCATTTACTGTGTGGCTTTGAACTCGTTACATAACTTCTCCGACTCTCACCTTCTCTTCTGAAAACTGGATATATAAATAGCACTAACCTCACAAAGCTGTAAAGAAGGCAAGGCAGGGGCGCCTGGGTGGCGCAGTCGGTTAAGCGTCCGACTTCAGCCAGGTCACGATCTCGCGGTCCCGGAGTTCGAGCCCCGCGTCGGGCTCTGGGCTGATGGCTCAGAGCCTGGAGCCTGTTTCCCGTTCTGTGTCTCCCTCTCTCTCTGCCCCTCCCCGGTTCATGCTCTGTCTCTCTCTGTCCCAAAAATAAATAAACGTTGAAAAGAAGGCAAGGCAGGTACAGCGTTTGGTATAGACACTAACAGAGTAAACACTCGGTAGATGTTAGTTTTTTTCTCCTCCTTTTCTGCTGCTGCTTTTCCTTCTTTTCTCTGCTTCTTCCTCCACCATCATGGTGATATAGCCTTTCTCAGCTTGCTGACCTTGTACCTGATAGACTGGTGAAGACAAAAAGAGATCAGGACCATAAATATCATCTCTGTAAACCACAGGCTCCCAAATTTATTCCTAGTATGTTAAACGCCACAGATTTGCAATGCAAAAGACCAAATGTTTTTGCAGTCACCACCATGTCCACAGGAGCTACGTGGATTCTAGAGGAAATACGAAAGTATTTAAGATAACATCCCCTCCCTTTACTTCTAATAATTGGGCCCCTGCATTATTTCACAGGAACATTCCAGATACCAAGTCATACTCTCAGATTAAGGAATTAAACATTGTGTTATTGGCTCAGACACAGAAAATAAAACATCAGAACCCATGAGCCAGTCCAGAAGCAAGCCCTTGCGCATGTGGGGATTTGGTTAATGAAAACCATGGCATTTCAAATCAGTGATGAAAGAAAGTTCGATAGTGTTGAGAAAACTGGCCACACATATAGCTAAAACAAATAAAAGCCCCTTAACTACCTCACCCTATGCAAAAAAAAGTAGGCTTTGTATGGGTTAGAGTTAAGAACAAAACATGCTCAAAGAAAATGTAAGTGAATCAGGTATTTGAGGCCCCAGACCAAAGTTAGTGCCGCAAAGTTGCGATCATTTCCCGTTAGTCACGTGTCTGCAGGTCATCTGGGCCGCTCTGTGCCTCCGGGCCAGGTGTGGCTGATCTCAGCGGGACTCGCTCGTGAGACTGAGGTCAACTGGCAGGTGGGCTGGGCCTTACCGAGCGGCATGACCTTACCCACGTGTTTACCGGTTGGCTGGATATTGGCAGGGGTGGGGCCAACTAGGCCACGGCCTCCCATCCAGCAGTGGGCCAGCCTGGACATTTCACGTGGCAGAGGTGGGGTGTTAAGAAAGAGCAAATGGCGTACACGGTCACTTCTACCGCATTCCATTGGCCGGCGCGGGTCACGAGTGCGGAAACAGGTCAATTTCTTGACGGCGGCGGTGGGCGAAGCTGCAAAGTTGCATTGCAAAGGGAATGGATACAAGGAGTGAAAACCTATGGCCGTTTTTGCAACCTTCTAGGACATCAACTTATTTTTTATTTTTATGCTTTCAGGACTGATTGCAGAAAAATTTAAAACTTAGGCACAGTGCAAGATCCTATAAAGTTAGAAAAGCAATGTCATATTGAGAAAAATGTGAGTTACGAGCAGTGTTTATAGCAGAAAAACTCCAAGTCTCTCTCTCTGTCACAGACAGACAGACACACACACACACACACACACACACACACACACACACACACACACAATAGTAGGCTTTAAAAAAAGAAACAAAATAAATAGTAAGCAATGTTGTTAATAGAGGAAACGGATTGATAATGTTAGAAGTTTTTGATCAGTGTTAAAAGAGACTAGCATTGTAGGAAATGCCTTCGCTTATTGTTTGGATTTTCCTTTAATTTGGTTGGATGTTTTGTCTTGTTTCCCGAGGGAGCAATACCCTAGGCTAGGACTGTGTGGAATGCACCTCCCAGCAGACAGCCGGCTTGCAAGGGCACTGGGGGACACAGAGCTTGTGGGTCTGTCTGCAAGAGGCGGGCCGGCCAGATGCGGTGGTGTGGCCTCCAGGCTCCTTACCTGCTGTGTAAGTCTGAGCCCCTCCAGAACACAAATGGATTTGTCTGGCATATGAATTTTATTATATTTATTTATATGAGCTAATCTACTAAAGTTTTACTTAAGTTCCTATAATTCGTAAAAATTAGAAGGCACTTAGTTTGAGGGGGAAAGGAATCTGTTTGCTCGAACTACACCCACAAAGAGGGAGTGGGAACAGACCTACAGTTCCCTGGGGATAGAAAGAAGCAAGTAAGGTAACCACTCTCCCCTCCCCCTCCCCCCCCAAAAGCCTAGTTTGAAAAGAAGAGATCATTTTTGTGAGATGATGTCTTTTTGTAGGACAAAAAGAGACAAGAGAAAGAAAAGGGGAGGGGAGGGCAGGAGGAGAGAAGAAAGGAAGAAAGGAGGAAGGAAGAAAGGAAGGAAAAGAAGGAAGGAAGGGAGGAAATGGGACCCCACTTCAGGAAAGAAAATACATATCACTCATCATATGTGCTAAATAATGAA